CCTTAGTCTTAATTTAAAGAGCATGGATCTTGTGTTGACAAGTAACATATAGTCCTAGGCCACGCCTATTATGTTCAAGTTTTCATAGTACTTAATTCTGTAAAGAGTAAGGCAAAAGGCTGAAGGGAAACATTAATATAGAGATACCTTAAAAGTGATTATAGTAATTCATCAAACTTGTCAATTATGGCCCAAATTATAGAAATGAAAGTAAAAATGGAAAGTACAAATAGTTAAAAATATTTAAAAGGTAAAAACCACCAGAAGCTTATATAGTGTAGGAGGTAAGAACTCTTCTCAGATCAGCTACATCGAACTAACAAGCTCCTCGGCTATGTGTTCTCACTGCCACTGTATTTGGCCTCAGTTCAGGCACACATCAAGGAGTTAGTTGACTATGAGCCTATTGAAACTAGGAGCCAAAATAAGGCTTTCTTCTTATCAGCTGATTTTCTCAGTTGTTTTAACAGCAGTGGAATTCTGAATAAAAACGTTATAAGAATCAAGTCTGTATTAAGAAATGTTTACCTTTGGTGATTTATTCCTCATATTTCTCCCTTTCATACATTCATATATTGCTACTTTTCAATATTCTGAAGGAATAGACTTTCTGGTTTTTGGTAGCAACATTCACTAGTTCTAGTTTCCATAGTTACACTACATCTGAAACTATAAATAAACTGCTCTGAAAAGCCACACTTGTTCACAGGTACATGTCTCACATAAAACTGCCTTGATAAATGAAGAAAAATCTACTTCATGAGAAAATGGTTTACAAAACTCACAATAGGGGCTGGAGCGGGCACAGAGAATGGAGTGCTTGCCATGCATACAAGAAGATCTGAGTTGGGATCCTCAGCACCATATAAAAGCCAGCTATGTATCTGTAACCATAGTCCTGGGGGTGTGGGTGTGGGACAGAGATAGGCACATCCCTTGGCAATCTTTGTCTGTGACATAGCTAACTGGTGAGCTGCAAGTTCAGTGAGGTGACCCTATTTCAGAATATAATGCGGAGAAGAGCTGGCTAGATGGATCAAGAGGTTAAAATCACTTCCAGGGGAGCCAAGTGTGATTCCCAACATCCACAACTGTTGTAGAATATTATTTTAAGATGTGTTACATTTGTTTATGTTGTGGAAAATCTGCATTAATTATGCAAAGATATGTTGCATTCCTTTATGTTGCATTTGTTAAACTTTGTGAAGCTCGTTTACTGTGCCTATGTAAAACACAAGATGGTCTAATAAATGGCTGAACGGCCAATAGCAAGGCAGGAGAAAGGATAGGCAGGACTGGCAGGCAGAGAGAATAAATAGGAGATTTGGAAGAAGGTTGTACAGGACAGAACTACATGTAACATGCAACACACACACACACACACACACACACACACACACACACACACACACGTAAATGTTGCAGATGTAAGAGGTATGAAAAAGACTTAAACTGTAAGTACAGATTGAAAGATGAAGGAAAAGATAGATGGGCTAATTTAAGTTAAGGCAAGAACAAGAAAGCTAAGGCCTGGCATTTATAATTAAGACCAAGCCTCTGTGTGTGATTTATTTGGGAGCTGGGTGGTGGGCCCCCCCAAAGAGAAAAGACCAAAAAATAATAATAACAACAGTTTATGGCTGTTAAACAAGGCATTTGAGAAAGCTATACAGGACAATTGTCTACGCTGGCATATGTGATCTTTTAGAACTTGGAGTATATCGATCCAGGCTCTATCTTTTCAAGTTTCCAACTAGAAATCAGTTGCTATTCTGGTGGGTTTTCCTTTACATTTGACTTGACTTTTTTGTTTGTTTGTTTTGGAGGGGTTTTGTTTGTTTGTTTTGTTTTGTTTTCTTGTTTTTGTAGCTTTTAATAGCCTCTCTTCATTCAGTATATTCAGTGTTTTCAACAAAAATACACCACGAAAAGCTTCTTTTCTGGTCCTATTTATTTGGCGTTCTGTGTGCTTTTTGTATCTGTGTAGGTATGTCTTTCCTTGATTTGGGGTTTTCTCCCATGACCCTATAAAGATCTGGTTTTTGCTAATGACCCAGAGTGCTTCATCTTCTATGCCTATAATTCAAAGATTTGGTGTCCCCAAGTTCTTGCATGTTCCTTCCATGTGTTTTTATTATTTTTTCATATTTTTTATTTGTGTTTTCCAGTTCCTCTACTTTATCTGTAAGTCATGATAGTCTATCTTCTACTTGATCCAACACTCACAAAACAATATAGGCTATTGACTCAGATCTTAGATGCCTTCTAGAAGTTGCCTTATTGCTGCAGATGCCATACAGTTTGTATATAGAACTTAGAGGAGTCCACCTGAAACTGACCTGGAAGCCTCCTCCTCCCTGAGGATTGGGTCTCCTAATATCTCCTAATAACCAAACTACTAAGGGAGAAAAGCAATCAAGAGTCTTATCCAGCTGCACAGCCTACAAAACACAATAATGACCAGTCCAGCAAGATATCCCCAAGGGTGCAATAGTGGCCCTTACATCCTGGGAGTAACCAACATCTCTCTAACTAAACATATGGCATTGTAATAGGAGGGAACTCATTATTGGTACTATAAATTTAAACAACTAGCCATGACCAGTGAGGTCATGGATCTAGAGAAGAACCCACTACTGCCACTTTACTAAACCACTATAATTTCTAACTGCATTCTAAATATATTTTTAAATTTTTATATATTTTATGTATGTGTTTAGCCTACATATATGTCGGTGTATCACATGCATAGTTAACAGATGTCTGTGAGCTGGGAATCGAACCTGAGTTCTCTAAAAGAACCATCAATACTCTTAAACACCAAGCCATTGCTCTAGCCCCTAAGTACTTATTTTTATACCTACAGATAAATATATCTATTTCTCATTGAAGAAGTTTCTTTTTGGAGCCAATAGAGACTACCACACAAACTCACAATTTGTCAAATGTAGAGAACAACTGACCATGGGGCACCCAACCCCAACTAACAAATCTACAATACAATCCTTACACCTAAGACTCAGAGAACCTGTGGAAGAGAGGGTGGAGAGACTGTAAGAGCCAGAGGACCAGGACAGCTGCTGTACCCTTGAAATATAGTGTCTTCTATGTATGACAGAGAAGCATCACTCATGCAATTTCAATAATATGGTTTCCTAAGCAAGACCGGAACAATAACAATGCCAGTTGACATGCCAATGTGGATGAGGGAAAATTTACAAGTTCCTACCTCTAGATAAAGAGCTATAGGCAATTCATAGCTGCTGAGAGATGGAGATTCAGTCTTCTCTAGGAATAAGCCCCTCCATAGGTTATCTAATCCCAAATGATCAGCTATAAACACATACACATACACACACACACACACACACACGCAACACTAAACAGGCTCAGTAGGGTTAATATATTTATATATGAATAGGGTTAATATATTTATATATGAATATACATAGTATATATACATCTATGTATGTATTTATATATATATGTAACAATAATAATTAAAGAAGAGGTCATAAATTTGAGAGAGTAGATGTAGGAGGAATTGGTGGGGATAGAGGGAGAAATGAGTCTGAAGTAAATACAAAATACTTAGGTATGAAGTTCTCAAAAATAATAAAAAAATTAAAAGGTAAAAACTTCTCACTCAAAAAAACAAATTCATATACCTAGATTCATAGCAAAATTCTAATCCTGGGACTCTCACTATCTATGTGAAACTGAAACTTATTTCACCTTGCAAATCTAATGTTATGAATTATAGAGATAATATAAATTTAATAGTTCATAAGGTAATCATATTAACAAAGAAAGAAACATACATAAAGTACTTGATATAATACATGACCCATAATAACCACAGGATGGGCACCTCTCCAACCATCATCATCAGGATTCTTTGGTGATTAAGCAGAGACAGGTAATGAGATGGTCTAGATGCTGGGAGTTTCCCAGAGATTCAGCCTCACTCAAGAGATGTTCTATGTATGCCGAAGGTTAAGGACCATCATCACTTTGTGGAGAAACTCCTTCTAAAACATCTGCCACAGTCCCTTGCTGTGTTAAAAGATGTCTATTAACATAAACTTATTTGTATTGGTGCCTGGTACTAAAAAATATCTAGATCATTACATTTTATATCTCAGTGTGCGGACTATAGGTCTTATTAACTATGAACTCTTTTACTAGTTTGGGGTAATGAAAGAGATGCCACCCTAGGAGGTACATCAAGAGACAAAGGGGAGAACAAGGATTCACTGTTAACTCTCACAGCCAGCTCACCAATGATTCCATTTAGGTTAAGGAAAATTTGAGGTGTTAAAATGGATATTTTCAAATATTTTAATGGGCTCATATAAAAAAGCAGGCTGACTGATTCAAGACTAAACTAGAAACAATAGATATGCTGCAAGTAAATAGGTTAAACATTAACAGGAGTGCTTTCATTATGGGATAGATGAGGCTTTCTGCAATTTGAAGACCCTATGATCTATGTTGAAATACTCCATATAGAGTTGTATATTTAAATAAGAACTCTAATCACTTTAAAAATGAACAAAAATACAGTCTACTTTGTCTTTTTTCAATCAATAAGACAATAATAAAATCTGTGAAATGTATTACACATCTATACACTCACATATAGTACACATAACAAATTTTCCATTTCTCAAACTAATCACTACAATTCCACTTTTAATACTGAGTTGTTGTTTTTCAAAAAAAAAGAAAAAGCAATTGACGTTTAAATTTAAATAACTTTAAATTTAAAATGGTACAGTGAAGAGTAACCATTTTTAAATGTTAGGTGATACATTTTCAAATATGTCTGCCCATCTCAATTTTGAATTAAAAAGTGTATTTAGACAAGTTCTAAACTGACCTTACATCTATGGAGAGCTCATCATTTAAATATTCAGTTTCAGAGTGATAAAGTCATAAAACCATCACGTACAAAACAGAACTGGTTAGAATGATCACAGCACGTATTTTATACTAACCAATCAGAAGAACTGTTCCAACAGCTAAACCTCCACCTGGAAATGACACACAAGAACATTAGTCATTAACTTTCTAGATTTTCTTTAGCACAAAATTTAGACTTCACCAAGAACAGTTACCTCAATAATATTAGAAACTGCCCTTGTGAACAATATTTGAACTATCTCTGCAATACTTTGCTCAATGTTATTATGATCCAGTTACATGTTACCTGTAATTACACACTACATATCATATTTCCTTTCTGATATGTCATAGTGTCCCCCTTTCTCCAGACAGAACCAGGAGGCACTCAATACAACTGTGATAAAGCACTCTAACATTTAGCACTTGTTAATAAATTAACTCAAGGGCCAAGACCCAAATGTGCAAAGTGACTGCTAAAAATTCTGTGTTTTTATTTTCAAATGGAGTAAGTCTTATAGGAACTAATAGTTCCAATTATTTTTTTAAACAATTATAAGATATACAAAGTCTAGAAATGCTTAAATATAAAACTTATTTTTGTCAGTTCCAACAAAAAGGAATAATAAACAATACATTTTCACTAATATTAGAATGAGTTCTTTTAAGTATTTGAATGAAGCTAATATTATGAATATATAATCCAAATAGTCACTAAAATTAACTTTTCAGATATCTTAACTATGCAAGAGAGGTCAGGTAGTCCATACAATATTTTGTTAATCATTTTACCTGTAAAAGTATTAGTACTTTAATGTCTCAAAAACTAACAAATGTACTTTAAAATTGAGAAATACATGCTAATGCCAGGCAGTGGTGGCACATGCCTTTAATCCCAGCACTCGGGAGGCTGAGGCATGTGGATATCTGTGAGTTTGAGGCCAGCCTAGTCTACAGAGTAAGTTCCAGGACATGCTCCAAAGCTACACAGAGAAATCCTGTCTCAAAACAAAATACATGCTAAAGAATGACTACAAATGTATTTGTTGCATTATTTTAAAAGTATTCAAAGCTGTTGAACAACCGAAGAGAGTATTCTTGGTAAGGTTTGTGTGTATGAGCACAAAACCATAAAACATTTTGAACATCAATAAAAATCTCTTTCCCAAAATATTTTGTAGTGGAAAATGTGTGGAAAAATCCAATATGAAAAGTTCCCTTAGTAGTGTTTCTTTCCACTTGTACAAAAAAGCATACTTGTTGTATCAAACAGTCTGAAATCTATTAACATGTTCACAGAATAAATTGAAAAAAACTGGTATATACTAATTTATGGTGATATCTGAAATAATTTGAAGACAGTCTGTAAAAAATTTCAAAATCATTAGTGACAGACACTTTAAAAGTTAGTACATTTACATATGTTCGTATACATGTGTGTGCATCTCTCTCTCTCTCTCTCTCTCTCTCGTGTGTGTGTGTGTGTGTGTGTGTGTGTGTGTGTGTGTGTGTGTGTGTGTGTGTGTGTGTGTGTGTGGTGAGGTCTGTGTAGCTTAGGCTGGCTTCATTTCACTGTAGCTGAGGATGAGGCTTCAACTCCTGACCCTCTTCTTTTTACTTCTGATGCACTGGGATTTACAGAATTGTAACTGGATCTATCATAAAATTGAATACATAGTTTAATTATACATCAAGACAACTTCCCACACTGTAACATTTAAAATGTAGACCACACTAATGAACTCAATTTCAAGATTAACAGAGTGAAATGTACATTAAGGCAGCACTCATAAAGGATCCAAGTAAGGTCTGCTTTTAGATGGATTATACTAAATGCTTAATTTAAGTTTGTGCTACATAAAGGCCACTGCTAACTTTTATATTTATTTTTAACTTTATATCCTACCTTCCTTTATGTGGAAAAAACATTTAATACCTTAATGGTCAATGTTTAAAAAGATAAAATTACACTCTATTGTGTATAAAAGGTTGGTTGATTTTCCTGGTCTACTTCCCTAATCTATTTAACTTTTGTATCTAACTTTCAGTGGAATAAAAGCAAAGGGTTTTAAAGTTTGGGATAGGATCTCACTTTTTAGCTGAGGCTGGGCTGGAACTCGCAGAACATTCCTGCCCCAGCCTTCTCAGCACTGGAATTACAAGCATAAGCTACCATGTACAACTACTTTTCCCTCATGGTGGGATGATGAGATGTTTCTCGATGAAAATGAAGTAATATGTAAAATCCAGCAGGCTTTGGCCATTTTTGCAATGACTTTTAGATTAGAACCCATCACTCAATGTGTATTATTACTTGGTAAGTGATAATGGGAGCAATAACAGACAAGAAGAAATGAGCTAAGCAGAACATCTTGCAAATCCCACAATGAGGGGAAGGAGGTTGGTTTTTGGAAAAATGATCCAAACAAAATTCTTTTTCTGCTAATTTAGGAAAATGTTACTCAAAAATTATAAATCTTATGTTTATGAAAATCCTAATAGGTGGAAACTTTGATCAATCCTGAAGACATTATCAAATAGGGGTAAATTAAATGACTTTTAAGACTTATTTTTTTTTATTCCCCAATGAGCTGTAGTGTGTGCTTCACTTTAATTTTAGATGGGTGCTAGAGGGGTTTTGTGGGGGTCCCTGCAAAGTGCTATAGCTAGCAGAAAAACAAACCATGAGAGGCAAGAAGAAAACTTGGATCAGCACATTTTACTTAGCTTAGCTGGTTCAAACTTCTAAAATCTGACACTGGAGAGTTATTTTAGACATATTTAATTACAGTATATTTTGGGGAAAAAGTGTTTCCTGGTAACAATTATCTCAATCCCATATGTACAATAAAGCTTAAGGAATGACTACATTGAAACTCCTTTGCAAAGAATATGTGACCTCTACCATGAAGATGGTTTCTAAGGTTTAAGGGCCTGGGATCTTGTGTGGTCTCAGGATAGCATAGAGGTCACACTAGGTTATAAAGTACCTGCGACATTTACCCTAAGGATGGTTTTTATTGACTTGAGGAGCAATGCTCAGGATAACAGTCTTAGGGAGGAAGAATTTAGAGTAAACATAATGGTCTGGAGGATTTTGGTGTGGCCTGGCCCTACAGATAGCACAGATTACCAGGCTATTAACAACATTCACTCCCAGCCTTCTGGGTAGAAAATAGGTATACACATCTCTTCCTTGAAGAGATAAGCCTGTGTATTTAACTTTCCTGGTTTCTCTAATGCTTATCTGTCAGCATGAGGACCAATGCCCTCTACAGGTTTCGTTGTGAAGACTGGTCACTATGGAATAAGCTTATTGGTCATAAACTTAAAAGTTTCAAAATGAAGCTTTTGCTGGGCAGGGCTCACAGGCTTCTAATCCCAGTATTTGGGAGGCTAAGGCAAAAGGACTTCCACAAGTTTAAAGTCATCCTGGTTTACTAGCAAATTCCAAGTCAGCTTGGGCTACAGAGATTCTGTCTCAAAAACAAAAACAAAACCAATTTAATGAGACAAAAACTCCACAATCTTTCCCCCAAATACCCTCAAGTAAAATATCTATATATTTCTTTCTTGATACACTATGGTTGTAGATGGAGTTTAACCCAAAACTTGAATCAATATATAGCCATGGCTCCCACCAAACAAATAAATAAATGGAAGGAAAAAGAACAAGAAATGAACAGATAAAAACATCAAGCAAGGTTGGCCATTTTGACATATTACTTAAAAGTTGGCTTTTACTACATTATTGAATACAATAATCCATCAGTAACCTGACCTAATTTTAAAAGCAATACAAACTTTACATTAACAGTCTCCATTAAAATATAAATATATATAAATTTTTATAGTCCACAAAAACGTTTTCAGGTAAGTAATGGGGTAAGGAAGCAATGATACCATCTCAGTGATAAAAACAAGTAGAAAAAAAGAAATGGAATCCTAACTTAGAAAAACCACTAGTGGACTTCCGTTGCTTAGTATTTGATAGAGAACATTCATAGTTCAAGCTGGGAGACAATATTTTGTGCTAAAACAGGTACAGATTTAATATTTAAAGAATATCAGAGCTGGGTATGGTGGTGTACACCTTTAGTCCCAGTACTTTGGAGGCATAGATAGGTCTGGCCCACACAGTGAGTTCCAGGACAGCTAGGGCTACGCAGAGAGAACCTGTCTCAAAAAACCAATAAATACATAAAATAAAAAGTAAACAACAAAAACAAAAATAAAAGATAAGAAGCTTTAATATTTCTAGTGTTAAAAACTTTCTATCATAGTTTTTTAATTCATGGCCTAGTAGTTAGACAACCATTACTGGTACTATTTGAATGGAGAAATTTCAATTTTGTGTATTTTCCCAAACTAATTTGTAAGTTACAAACTTTTGGTAAATGAAGTCAAATTAATGCTTGGAAGTGATACTTTATTTTTCAAAGTTGGTGAAAGTAAAAGGAGAAACTAGAAATTAAGTAATATATTATAGAAAGACACTATTGGAAAACTGAAGTGTAAAAAGCAAGCTAGCTTTTTCCTTAGCTTACAGCAGTATCCTTAATTATCAAATTAATACAGTCTTTCAAACTAAATTGTGGTGATTTTGTTAATGGGTTTGTCTTAAGCTATCAAACATCCTGTCCTATGATTAAGACACAAGTACTGGCTAGGCAATATGGAAACCAAAGCTATGAACAGGGATAACGGCTCTGAACAGTAAATCATATGAAACAGTTTTACATAATAATAGAAAAGAGATATATTTCCTTTAGTTGTATAGCTAGCTAAAACATAAAAACTTCTTAAACATACAGCCCAAACTTAATGTATTAAGTATATTATTTATAATATATTATTATTTATTATGTATATTATTTCACTAAAATATAAAATTGTTAAAAATACATAGTCCAAGCTTAACGTATATTATTCTACAATACTGATGATAATGTAGTAAGCAAGCCAGTTGCATTTATTTTTTTAAATCAGTTTTAAAAATTGTGGCCACAACAAGCTTCTCCACAGAACTTCTGCTGGACTATTATTTGCCACAAACTCAACCTACCATTCCCTTGACATCCAAAACTGAATAAACTCTGAACAGGGTGGCAGTTAAATCAGCCAAATCTCTGAAGTCACCCTTCCTTCAAGAACCTCTCAAGACTGAGTATAATTTTTCTTAGAAATTCCTGGAATATCTATCCAGCCAAATTCTTTTCCTTTTCTGAAATGTATGTTATTTACCCATAGTGACCTCAGGTAACAATATAAATGCCCTGAAAGAGACAAAGTTGAAAACCTAGGTTACTGAGATAGATGCATAGCTCAGTGGTTAAGAGCACTTGTTGCTCTTGTAGAGGATCCAAGTTTGATTCCCAGAACCCACATCAGGGCCACTTTCAAGCACCTGTAACTCTAGCTCTAGGGGATCCAAGGGCCTCTTCTGGCCTCTGGGGATGCCTGGACTAATATGCACAAGTCCTCATAATACACATAAATAAAAATAAAATAAATCTTAAACAAAATCCCCTAGATTAGAAAGTCTAAATAAAAACTTGTAAAATTTAAACATTGCCAAATATGGGGAACATATATGAGAATCCAAAAATATTAAATTGTCAGAACAAAAACAAATGATTAGATCATGTTTTTTAAAAGGAAGACAAAGGGAATGTATGTTCAAATCTGTAAGACATTTTAATGGAAGTAATGAATTACCAAATAGCTAACATTCAATCATTCTATGTGATGGACTTCAAATACATTTGCAATTATGTTTAAATTACACTGATGGCAGTAGTAAAGTCTCACTGTACCACAGGGTGGGAAGAATACAGTATTAACTTGCTGTGTGATCACAGTGTACATTGGTACATTTTCATTTATAATATCCCTCTATCATTACATTTTACCGCCATAAGGTCATACAAGGCTTGCCACAATCTGAATCAAATAACGTTTGAAAGTAACAACAACGTGCCCTGAAGTCCTTATGCTTCTTTGAATACACATTAGCAGCAGATGTTTCACTTTCAAATGTTTTAATGAAAAACAAATTTAAATTTTTTGCTCCAGAAGACATACAAGACAGGAAATCAAATTACAAAAATGTCATTAAGAAGTTAACAACTGAAATACACCTGGGAGTATTTATTAACCCAAATATAGTAACTGCTATTGTTACAACATTCTGAATTTCTATGTACTTTGTAAATTAACTTCAATCATGCAAAACATACATTTCAACAATTGATACTATTTTGAACTTAGTGAACACTAATTTTTAGCTTAAGTATGTTATACTCAAATATTAGAATCTTCCACTGTCCAAGCATTTCTGAGAATTTAAAAAATTATTGTTCAAGTATATGTCTCTGTAGAAACACAGATGAAGGTGCCTTCAGTTCTTTTTGGCAGGTGTGAAGAGACTGTAGTTAAATAATCTTAAGTTCAGTAACCTGTCAAAACTCCCTGAAAATAGTTCTCAAAAATTAGAAATAGCTGTGCTTTAAGTATAGAGGTGACTAAATTTGAAGCTGAAGATCAGCTCACTTGGTCGGGAGTTTTGTAAATATTTATACCACTAAATTTCTGAATCAGTTTTTGCAGCTCCAATGCCAAACTCTATGTTTCATACTTATCATTTCTTATCTAGTTTTTTTTCTTCTTCTTTCAATCAAGGCCTTATAAAAACTTACTGAGTGTCAGGCTCTGGTCTAGGCACATTTTGCTATTTTAATGAGAAAATGAAAGCACAATACCGAAAATGCAGTCTTTTTGTTTGTAGAGTTTGATTAGTATCAAATGAATAAACTTACCTATCCCATTTAATTAAAAATATGAACATTTAAGGTGTAGAAAAGATCGACAGGTTAGGTGGATAGAAAGATCTGCTATCATTAAAGCTTACAGATTAATTTCTGTCTGGAACAGAGTTCACTAAAACGGGCCAATCTTCTAAGCTTTTAGTTCAAATCTAGGATAACAACTGAGGCCATAAGGGGAAAAAAGTGAAATAAATATTTGCCAACTATGCATTTTGAATTATGTTTCTAGCCTAACACAATTCTATGGGTTTGAAACAATTATGTGAAACTACTTTAAATTTATGTAGAAAACAATCAGAATCCATTTAGAACATGAAATAATAGAATCAAGAAACCATACTGTTTCTCATAGCTTGTCTTGTTATTTTTCTCTTTGCTAAACTTGCTTGAAAAGCTGAGAGAGAAAATGCTAAATGAAGTACAAGAATAAGCAATGGCAATTGTAATATATTATGCAAATCTACCATATTTAACAGACATAAAGCAAACACTATGAAAAAAAGCTTACAAAAATGTAAGCACACATCTGTTTCTAAGAAGCAGCATTCAGACATAATTAAGCCTGTCCTACCGACCTAATTAAGTCAATTCTTTCAACAAATCAGTCCTATGAAACAAGTATATTCTCCAGCAGGCTTCACATGAAAAAAAATTCCAGAGATTACGATATAATACACGTACATATTTAAGATAATCTGGGGGTAGAACTATCTGAATATCAAGGACTGTCATTCCTTTGAGTCAACACACATTTTAACATTCACTCTTTTAGAGCCAACACCGCTTATGATTTAAGGACATCGGTAGCCCGCAGCGGAAAAGAGGGGAATATTTTCAACATTTTCTAATGAAGCCTTGTCTTCTACAACGCTAAAAAGTTTTGTAGGTTAGTCTTCCAGCTTTAAGCTACCTGGGATTGGAAGGAGAGTGTCATAGAGACCAGTAGAGGATCCTAAAAGTCAATTCCTTTCTATGTTTCTTTTTCATTAGGAATCATTTTAGGGTAAAAGCACATAGGGAGTCCTGGTCACCTGGAAACGAGTTGCTGGGCGGAGCGGAGTAAGGAGTGTGGGTCCTAAGGCGGGCTTAGTGCACACATCTTAAGACATGCAAGTCTTCCGCCCCCGACTCTTATCATAGCAGGCCACCCTTGACCAGGTTTGTGAAGGGGAGAGGGGTGAGCGGGGCTGGGCAGGGCAGGGCAGGGTGTGGGGATGAGGGGCTGCCCCGGGAGTCCCTCCCCAAGTTTTCCCTGGGATGCTCCCTCATCTTCATTCTGAACCGACCTAAGAGCTGGTCCAGGGCTGGGAGCCCGGTTGACACCAGCAGCTGTCCATTCCGCACCGACGGTCGCGTGCCCGCAATGGACAGCAGCCGAGGGCCACCTCCGTCAGCCCCAGAGGCCTTGCTCCTCCTCTGGAAGCTGGTGGTGCCGCTCTGGCCGGCTGCGGGTGACACACACCCAGAGCTGAGGACGCCCGCGCCGCAGGTAGCTGCCGCCGCCATCTTGAAGCTCCCGCGACGAGCCAATAGGAACTCTGGGAACTCGAGCGGCTGGCCTGTCAGAGACAGCCCCAAAGTCCCGCCTACTCACCACTGCTGGCCAATAGAAACGAGGACTTCCTTGCCGCTCAACCAATCGCAAGGCCGATTGCTGAAAAGTGCTCGGTACGTAAAGGCGGAGGATTGTGCACAGTCCAGGTTAACCAGGTCCGCTTGAGTTCTGGTTGAGGAACTTCTGTTGGTGTTGGGGGCCGCAGGTGGGTACTGTCCTTGAGCATTCTGGGTTTGCGAGTGCCCGCGTTCACGCGGAGTTAGAGAAAAGCGTGGAGAAGCGATTCGCCTGCAGGGCTTCTCCAGCCACTGCGAGTTGGAAAGCTGGCATCTCCCCTGCTCTTTAAGCACAGAGGAGAGACGCCTCCCTCGCCTTTCTGGTTTCTAAGGAAAGTTATCCCCGTCTTCCCCACGCGGGACCATCGTTTCCCGAATGGTTGTGCTGTCTGGAAAGGGTGTAACGGTGACTTCAGTGCCTGGTTAGCGCCTGGGCTTAGCCAGTTAGAGCCCAGGGCTAGCTGGGTTGCAGAGTAGACTTTTCCTAGAAACTTCCCTTGGAACTTTGAGGCCATTGGGCTTTCTCCCCCGGTCAGACAGACTATACTTCTCAAGTCCCCGTGAGCAGCTTTCCTTATTTTTAATTAGGGTTTCTGGAAATCTTGGAGAGTCTTTCCTAAGCAGTGTGAATGACAAGTGTTACTCTGACAACCTTCTTCACACATTTAATTGTCGCTCCCTGAAGCAGGAAAAAAAAAAAAACCCACAGAAATTACCTGAGGTTTCTCTCCCCTTAAATCTGGGAAGAATTGGCTTTATTTGTACTTTATTTTCTAGTGATTGTGAAATCTTAATGGAGAGGATTTTTACTACACCGTGAGTTTTATTTGTGGGAGAAAACCCATAATTTAGAGCTGTTTGATTTAAAACATTTTTTCAAATGAGAACTTGGGGAGGAATTGGTTAAGTGATTTTAAAAGACATTCAAGAAAAGCAATGTTTGAACTAAAAATGAGTCCCAACACCTGTGACATTAAATTACTGTTGACAGTGATGGATGATACATGATATATGTATTCATTCATTTATTCACCTTTGAGACAAAGTCTCACCATATAGCCCCTGTTGGTATGGAGCTCAGAGAAGTCTGTCTTTTCCTTCTGGTGCCAGCAGACTAAAGGGGAATGTCAACAACAACTTTATTTACTTTATTTTTTCTTTCTCTCCTTTTTTTCTTTCTTTCTTCCTGCCTGCCTGCCTGCCTGCCTACATCATATTAAGACTTGGGCCTAATCATATAATCCTAACGAGGTGGAGGAGAATCAGGTGTTATGCTGAGCATTAGCGCCATAAGACCCAGGTCTCAAAACAAAACAGACAACCAAAAGAGAAAAACAGAAAATAAAGAATCATTTTTGGGAAGAAAAGCAACAAACCTCCAGGTTTAGCAACAGCACACCAACTAGAAAGGTTTGATGATGGTGGCTTTCATTTCAAATATGTCACCAGTATAGATAGATCATACATATCCCTACATTTTTAAATCATTCAAATAACTGTTGAGTGCTTGCTTTCTGCTTAGGCCCAGTCTTGCCATTTTATACAATCTTGTAATTGTACAAAAAGGGTAAACTCCTTCTCTAATAGCAAATGAAGAATTTCCTAGTTGAGCAGTCTTCATATTTTAGATGCCAAGCTCCTTTTAGGCAGATAATATATTTTGCTTCATTTGATTAGCCTTCATTATTCCCAGTGAAGACCAAGACCAGTTGGAGCCACAGCAAGAAATAGAGATTATGAGACGTTTTTGCTTGGTCGTGAGTGGATATCTCTTTCTGTAACTAAATAGTAAATAATTTAGGTTTGACAGACAATAAAGTCTCTTTTGAGACTACTCGTCTCTTCCACAAGTAAACCAGGAGATCTGGCATTAATGGTTGAGCACAGTTGTATTAGAAGCTGAAATTTGAATTTTATATGATTTTTATATGTCACAGCACAGTCTTTTTCCTTTAAGCCCATTTGAAAGTCAAGAATATGGCACTTCTTTCTTGGCACCCCACAAAAGTAGATGGCAGCTGAAAGACTTATCCTCTGAACTGTAGTTTGTCAGCCTGTGTGCCCCTGGACTGTTTTCTGCCTATCTCTGTGATTTTATATACTTTATATTCTAGGAACCCTTCAAAGTCTCTAGTATGGTCATGCTCCTCACTGTCTTCAGTGTTTATTTATATCAGGTAAACATACTATTGTTTGGGAGCGATTTTTGAAAGAGGTATTATTAAACTTGTCATTTTGAACCAGAATCTCCTGTAGCCATGATACTTGGAAGAGAGGTGTGTATTTCTACATACAGTCTCTTTAAGGCAATCTAAGCTTTTCTGTTGTAAGCATCTGCTAGAGCACCACCCTACTTTGTGTTGCCAAAATATATAAGAATTTCCTAGGACCACCATAAGGAACTGATATAAACTTGGTGGCTTCACAGAAAATGTACTTTTTCAGAACATCAGAAGTAAAAAGTATGGTCTGCATGTCAGCAGGGCCTTTCCTTTCTGGCTTCTGCTGCCCCTTGATATTCTTGGTTGTGAAACCATAACTTCAGTCTCTGTCTCCAGTTTCTTAATGTCCTTGACTCATGGCTCTGTGTTATTGTTCTCCGTCTTTTATTAGGACATGCTTATTAGCTTTATTACCTCCAGTATAATCTCATGTTGATCCTTACCTTAATTACATTGCAAATAATGTATGATCACGTGTTATGGTTCTAAGTGGATATTAATTTGGGAAGTAAGACACAACTCAGTCCACTCAAGTCTCCTTTGGATAATTTGTGTAATGTATTTACAAAAATTAAAAGCTTATGAATAATTAGTTGGTAAAATTATTTCATGGATTGATGAGCTGACTCATGGATTGATGAGATTTCTTGATGGTTAAAGGTGCTTGCTGCCATATCTGGTGACCTGAGTTCCCCTCCTAGAACTCCTAGAAGGAGAGAACCAATTCAAACAAGCTGTCCTCTGACTTCTCTCTCCATGGATGCTATGGCAGGCATGCACTCCCCTCCCAATAAATACATGTTTTTCAACATGCTAATAATCCTTCATGTTAATATTAGTACTAGAAAGTCCTAGTCCTAAAGAACAACTAGACATTTTTTAGTATATTATATATGTTGTGCACACATTAATAACACTAAAGTTCTGTTGACTTAAAGAAATTTGTATAAGAATAAGTATACATCATTATAACAAGATCTTAAAATACCTCTTTATTAAAATAGTTGTGGTCTTTAACTGATTGGAACTAAGGTGCAGTGAGGGTGTTTTGATATTGACTCTAAAATGTTTAAGAAGGGTTCAAATGTTTACATAACCAAGAAAATATTCACATGAATAGCATAAATATAAGAGTGTTTGAGACTTGCAATACAATGAGATTAAGATTAGTTATAGTGCCTGTAAATAGATGAATGAATATATTTAAGCAGACATTTGCACAAAATCCCCCAAATTCTATGTATTTGAAGATTGATAATCATCTTTTGAAAGCAGAAATTGGGTATTTGGTGTACTGAAAAGCCATACGTAAACACATGCAATGCAAGCTTTGGCATTTCAAGTAGAAGTAGAGACAATTATTTATGTCTTTTAAGTCATAAGAACTGATGCAGAGTTATTATAGCTAAATATATCATAGGTTTTCACATTAAAAATACTTTGCCCTTCAATTGGTCATGAGTTTTTTTTCTTTAGCATCATATGCAGTCATCATATTCATTAAATGATTAATCATTTTTTTACAGCAGCCTTATGAACTATTTTCTAATATGTTTTCATTTTTAAAATTAGCCGGGCATGGTGGCACATGGTCTTTAATCCCAGAACTCTCGAGGTAGGAAAATCTCTGTGAGTTGAGGCCATTATGGTCTACAAAGCAAGTTCCAGGATAACCAAGACTACATAGAAAAACCCTGTCAAAAAAAAAAAAAATGCCATTAGATATGCGTGCTGATCTGTAAAAGCAAAAGTGTAAAAGTGTTCATGGCTGTCTTATCAACTCCTTGACTGCAGTGAGTAGCTTTTTATATAACTTGTTATCCTGTTATTTTTTTTAAAATTTCTTTCTTAAATCTTCTTTTAGATTAAAAAGACTTTGATATTATCATTTATATCCATATATCCAAATATCCACATTGAAACCTCCTGCTGCCCCACTGAAAGGAATATACAATTCACTGAGAAATGTCTACTCACCATACTTTAATTTAGCCCAACATTGATCAGAGATGACCTAACAGCTTTGATTTATTGCTTTAGGAATCCACAGCCATGGATGACTCACATATGCTTCGAGACCTGCTTTAGATTTGGGTTTTCCTGGAGAGCTTACAACTACGCTGAAGTTGAATGAATTGTAGAACAGACCTATGGTAAGTGGACTTTTTAAACAAACAAACAATACCAAAACCCCCTTTTTCTTCTGTCGGTTTCAAGTTCAAGTTAAGTCCTTTGGCTGTTGTAAGGCTGCTCCCTGCTGGACAAAATGTGGCTTTCTAAGATTGGCACTAAGTAGCTGAGCAAAGAACTGCTTTGGCTGCTCCCCTCCCCCTACCAAGGGATCCTTGCTACATTCACAAAAGCTATCCTCAAAATAGTGCTGTACTGTTGCCACTGTGTTGATAATCTGGTACAATACCAGGAGAAGATGCTCATTTCCGTGTTTGTTCATTGCTTCCTGTTTAGTGGCATCTAAAGGTTAGAGCAAACACATTCAGTGATGCCTGTCAATGTAGGCCTTACATAACTCTCTTAATTATGTGTGCTTTTTGTAATGTAAGTCAGTATACTATTATAATAATGATACCTGTTATAACATTTTTACTTCCATGTGTTGTTGTAGAGACAAAATAATTTGTGTCTATACAAATCACTTCTCCAATAGTTGAAACTGTTTCAGTATAATGTAAACTAGATCATATTGGATCTATTTTGAATGAAAAACCTGTGCTTTATGTTTTAT